GGCTAGTAACGGCTATTTTCGAGCAAGGGGGTATAAATATGGTTGGTAACAGATCTAAAGAGTTTTAGAGAACATTGCATTGAATATCTTTACCTACCTACTTGAGCTTTAACTTGAGTTTTTGATCTTTGAGTGATCATTGCTTGTAATCCTCTTCTTGTGCTTTTAGTGAGTGATCTTGGGGGTGTGTTTATTCCTTCAAGAGTGATCTATTGAGAGGATTTGTGGGGCTTACATTGTAAAGGGGTGAGGTTTGAGAGAAATACTCATCTTGTTGTAAAAGGATTGAGTGGCTCCTTTAAGCCACCATTGTCTTTCTTAGTGAAGAGTGTGGAGGAAATCCTTGGTGAGTGAAGCCAAGGTAGAGGATTAGGCTCCAAGTGGTTGGACCGAACCTCTATAAATTCATTGTGCAAGCTCTTCTTCTCTACTCTCCTTAATTTGGGTTTTGTGGTTGAAAAAGGGGAAAAGTTTTGGAACTCCAATTCATCCCCCTCTTGGAGTACATTGAGTCAACATCAACTACTAACATGATCAGATGCACCACTATCCAATATCCAATCACACAAGTTCATGAACTTCTTACCAGAAAAGTCATCTAAGGAGGGCTTCTTTTCAGTACCAAGTAATGAGATCAGTTGGTTCACTTGATCTTGAGTGAGTCCAGAAATCATAGGTGCAGCATCTGTGGATACTTGTGAGACCTGATTCACGGCTTTGAAATTCCCTTGTCTTGGAAAAATACGCCTTCTATCCTTCTAGTTACTGTCCATCTTGATCCTTGTATTATTGTCCTGTTTTCCATCTCTTGGTGGGTATCCTATCAACTTGTAACATGTCTCTTTGGTATGGCTTGACTTTCCACAATGATCACACAATTTTGGATTTGCACGAGGCTTTGATGATGAACCCATGGCATCAAGCTGATTTGTACGATGATTTGGATGTGATCTCACATTGAAAGCAGCAGCTTCTACATTTGTTGGCCGTGAGGCACAAAGAGAAATTTCTCTTTCTTCCCGTGTAACTAAGGCATATGCTTTGCTAATGTTTGGGAAGGGTTCTGTACGCAAAATATGGGATCGAACACTACTAAAATTATCATTAAGTCCAAGAATAAATTGATGTACCTTTTCCTCCTCCCTTGCCTTCAAGAAATCCTTAGCCGCTCCACAAGTGCAATCCGGAATTGGAGAGTATGAATAAAGTTCATCCCATATGGCTTTGAGTTTGGTATAGTAAGCGGCTACAGAGAGATTCTCCTGATATGTGACAGCCAAGGCCCTCTTTAATTCATGTATTCTAGGTGCGTTCTCTTGAGAAAATCTTTCCTTTAGATCTATCCATATCTCTCGAGCAGTGTCTGCATAAGCCACGCTCCCATGTAATTCAGTTGAAAGAGAGTTCTATAGCCAAGAGATCACCAACGAGTTGCACTTTTCCCAGTGATTGAGATCTGCAGATCTATTGGACGGACGAGACAAGGTTTCATCAACAAAGCAAAATTTATTCCTTGCCCGAAGAGCATTAGTCATAGCTCTCACCCAAGTGGAGTAATTTGCCTCATTTAATGGACTAGAAACCAAGTTTAAACCTGGATGATAAGAGGAATGGAGGAAATAGGGGGAAGAAGAGTCAAGTGCAAGCAGGCCTTGGGTTTGGCTTTCTTTGCCTGAAACTTTGCTGGCAGCGGCAGTATTTTCCTCACCCATTGTAATGGCGAGGTCAGGGTTTCTGAAAAAAAAGGAGATTAGGGATCAATGCTCTGATACCATATAGAAAAATATTGCCTTTTTCCTATATTGATTTGGTGAATTTGTACAATATATATATACAACATTCTAACGGTATAATGCAACGGCTAGAATAAACAAGTAATTGCTAATTAATTGCTTTTTGTAATTCCTTCCTAGAATCAAGGGATGACCTTGATATGCTACAATTGATATGCTGCGATGGCTGTGCTGTATATGCAGCTAATAAAAATGATAAAGCTACACAAAGTTAAAATTTTCGGTTGCAAGGACTATTTTGCCCGTCATGACCAAAGTCATCTTCGTTCCTTGCTTCCAATTTGGTGAAGTTTCGACGACACCTCCCCCCCTGCATTGACTTCAAATCAAGACCATCGTCAATGGCAATTGGCAACAAAAAATATAATGAGCAGTTTTACGGAGTCTAGACTGTCTCGACTAAAATTGGTGTATGTGCACAGGGAGATCCACGCAGACTGTTTCTTACCAAAAAGTTAAAAAGGAAAAAAAAAAATTGAAACCCTGAACTAAAGTTATCATTCAGTTTTAGAGTTTGTGAAACTGACTTCATGAATTGAAAGGAAGGTGAAAAAAGAGTACATTCGGCTAAGAGGAAAAGATATGAGTTTGAAAACAGAACGATAATTAGTAAATAAAAAAATATTGTGTAGCGTAAAATATATTAAATTATATAATAAAATTATTAAATAAAAATAAATTTTTTAAAGGTATATTTAGTTTGAAAAAAAATAAGAATATTTTTTTGTTTAGTTTCAAAATAATTAAAAGGAAAATGAATATTTTTTTTTTAATTCGTTTATTTATCAAAATTAGCTTTTCAAAAGTATTAAACTTTATTTGCTAAAAAAATTTAAA